CTGCGTCCTGTCGCTGGGCACGTCAGATACCGTTCACCGCGGCCGGCACAGCGGCGACGACAGCGCCGTCCGCGTGATCAGCTCAATTTAGTCCACTGTTCATCCCCGACTGGGTCCGTTCCGGGAGGGGAGGAGGACCGCTGCCGAGCCTTGCACGGCGCACTGGACTGGCGCAGGGTGCGGGAATCGAGGCCCGCCTGGCGCTCGCTGTTTGGCCTTGTCTGATTGCGGGGCGGTCACAGCCGGCGTGCGGTGGAGGACGTTTCTCGCGAACAGTCTGGTGTGGAGGGCGGTTTTTGTATCTGCCGCGCGCTGCGCGCTGCGTCCGCTATCACGGGTTGTTAGTGTAAAATGGCCCGCTGGAGGCCTAGTGGAGGTCCCACGGGCCGGTCGGTTCATGCCTCGAACTCAGGTCGGGCCGACGTTACGGCCTGCCAGTATTTTTTACCAATTTTGGTTCGTGTGCACTGGAGAGCTTCGCGGAACAGGTGTCCGCAGTCCCCCACAGCCGCTTTCTCTGCCCCTTGGGTCACAGTGTGGAAACGGCAACGATAGATAATACTTGAACGGCAGGCCGAGGTGGCCGCCGCCGTCCAGCTGTAAAGAGTTGACGTGTGAGCTGCACCAATTTCAGCAGATTATGAAGATGAACGACTTGTGACGCTCCACCCAGCTGTCACTGCAGTTTATTTCTCCTTGCGACCAATTACATAACGAAATGGTCCCAGAACAGCCTGGAGCCATGATTCCAGGAGCGGTGGCGAGTATGCACCGAGTATCTGTGCAGTGTGCACAGAGTCACCAGGTCCTCTCGGAAAGCATGCCAATTGAATGACGCGCGTCGTTGCATCACATTCACACGCCACCTACCTTGCAACAGTAGGTATGTAAATTAATCATGTCAGAAAAATGCTGATGAAATAGCATATTAAAGGTAGTGTGCCACCTTTGAAAGATTTCCGATTTTATTTTTCCTAGGATAAGAAGCTTCTGTTTTTACCTAATATCGCAAAAAAAATCAAAAATGGGCCTGGAATAGTGCCTTTTTCGCCTAAAAATTTTTCGGTTTTTAGATATGTATAACAACTGTAGTGGGCTCACCTGCAAACAGGCGTCGGGCAACAATCGCGAATGCGGCGCACTTGTGACAATAAGCAAAGGTCATTATAGTGTTACGACCATACGACGTACGGGAATGAGTTATCAGCTGTCTAATCGTAGACAACACAATGTCGAGCCTTAAACTGTAAGCCCGTATTGGTATTGTTTCTTTTATTTGGCTGTCGAACATTATTTATGGTTTGAAATATGATTTTATGTAAAATAATTGATATGAAAAAGCCGTCTTATAAGTTATGACCCCATTTCACCACACGCAAGTGGCAGAAATGACAATGATCAGCTGACGCATTTTTCTTGGCCGAAGTCAGAGCGCGCGGCCCGACGCACCACGCGTATTTGGAAATTCCGACCTCGACGAGCATCAGAAGCCACCTAACAGGCGTGTTCGAAACCGCAGGAGATGATGATAAACGGGTTTATCGAAACTTGATTGGATGAGCATATCGGTAATAGCGATTTCAGTGTGTGCATTTATTGTTCATAGTGGTGTGAAATGTGGTTGGGGTACGACCGACAACCCGTCGGGGCGAATTTCGCACTGGGGTACTCAAAATTTGAAGAATTTAAGACGTTTCCATGAGTTTTGAAGGTATGGATAAGTTCTAAAAATCCGGTTCTCCTTATCTGGGCCATTAACTCCATACGGTCCAAGAAAGCTGGCACACTACCTTTAAGTACGTGCGCTCTGCGCCACAAGCTTTGAATAGATTAGAATTAGATTAGATAGAATAGAGCTTTGTAGATTGTCATATAGGTCAAATACAAAAGCTCGAATCCTGACTTCCTATTCAGGTATCTGCATTCTGCATGCCTGTAATGATACGCTCGTTACGCCTCTCGTTTAGCTCGGATGCTCCCTGGTCTCTTTCGTAATGCCAGGTGGGACGAGCGAGGGCTTAGCTACAAAGTCGATTTACTTTTGTGATAAAATGAATACAAATTTAGATGAATAAAAATCCCTGTTCTCTCCTAAACATTTAAAACGTTGGTTCAGCGTAATGATGTCAATGTTTCCGTAGCGAATAAATGTCCTGAAATGGTACCTAATAATGAGTGTGAAATGTTAAACCTGAATTCACTCCGATGCACAACAGTGCGATGTGCACTGATCAACACCGCTCTTTTGTGACGTGTCTCCTTTTTACTACGGGTGCTCTGTATGTAGTAGGTGGCTCCAAGAGGCGGCTCCAAGTTCGGACACTTCACGATAGCTTTGGACACTGCTCTCATGGGCTTGGGCCGCTCTCTTCACTGCTAACTTTGTCTAATCATGTCGATTTTCCGATAACATGGCCGCCGGTATGCAACTGGCTGTCCAAACATAAAAGCTGCCTGGCGCCTCCAGTATCACAGAGACTGTTCATCGACGGATCATATTTCAATTAGTGCAGGCGTCTGGCGCGGTCCACTGTGTGCCGTCCTATTTACATTTGTGTACGTGTCGAGAACGTCGTAGCGATAGCGCCGTACCGTCGCTGGCTGTCAGTACGGGCGGCGTTATACACCGCCCCAGAGAAGGGTGGTCCTGCAGCAGAGGGAGCCGCCGCCGCCCGATGACGTCCCTCCGACGGACCGGCACGCGCTGATCGGCACCGGCGCGCGATCCGTGTCCGCCCGTCACGCGATCTTCCGGCTCCGCCGTAAACAGTCACGTCCTGTGACAGCGACAGATCTCACACTCATGTAGATGCCAATCGCGGCAACCGGTCTCGGAGAAATAATAACGCAAAAGGAAAGAACACGCCGATCATTTCCGAAATGTCCTCGATGTGTCGCGTGTTGATTTATTGCACCGGTTTGCTGAAGCGGTATTGAATAGGGAATACAATATCGATTGAAATTCGCGATAATGGGCGATTGAAGGTGTTGTGGCTGATTAAAGGTTTGTTAGGGTTAGGTTTGCTGAAAAGGAAAGGTTTGTATTTGGTGCCGTCGTTTTTAATAATAATTTGAATGAATGCAGGTGCACGTGAATGCAGCTAGGTACGCTAGGTACATGTTCCTGAATTCGCTGCAACAGAATAAATGGCTTTGGTCGGGTCGAATTCAAAATTGGATTACGGTTGCCTTGTCTCCACTTTTTCATGTTTGTCCAAAGAGGCCCACTAAGATCAGCGGGAAAATTGGCAAGATATGTTTAATGAACCAGATCGAGATTGTTGTTAAAAGTGCCGGTACGAACAGTTGATTGAGTCAAACTTATGAAGCCATGTCGTTTACGTCAATTTTCATATCCTTCGGTGCACTGTTAGATCCGGGATCCCCCATCCCCTAATCTCTAGTGGCTTTTGGGCTGCAACGCTCAATCAGTACACATAGGAAGCACCGTACAATTTTTTTTTGCGGCTCAGCCGTTTCAGTGGCGATCGTGAGAGTCGTCATCTCCTCCGGTCTCCATGAACCATTGTGTCGAGCCGGACCGGTTCCATCTGCTGACAGAGACTGGCGGCAGTGGTGCCCCACCGCGCTCTCTGCAAAGTGCCAACTCAGACCTGGATCAGCAACAATTCGAGCCGCGGTCCCAGGCTGCGGCCGGCCCAGCGGACGCTGAATGAGCGGTCAATTGACACCGGCACTGCCCTCTCCCTCTGCCTCGTCCCTCTGCCCTCCTGTCGGAGCGCTCTCTACCCTCGGCTGTGCTGCTTCATCGTGGGCCGCAGGCTTTGCGCTGACTCTTCGACTCTCTCTCTCTCTCTCTCTCTCTCTCTCTCTCTCTCTCTCTCTCTCTCTCTCTCTCTCTCTCTCTCTCTCTCTCTCTCTCTCTCTCTCTCTCTCTCTCTCTCTCTCTCGCTCTACCCTTTGTCAGTTATCCTGCCATCCAGTGTATTCGCTGTTTTCCCATCCCTTTTACAATTCCCATCCCTGACGGAGACCTCTGCCGTCCGGCCGGTCTGTGACGTTCCTGCCCGTCAGTGCACAATGTCAGTGCACAATGTGCACTGTGCACTGAGCGGTCCGTGCAGGGTGCACTGTTCGGCTGTGCACTGCAGCACCCCGGCACGTGAGCGTCCACCGGACCTGCCGGGCCCGTTGCGCCGTGTCACGTGCGGTGCTGGTGGCGAATGTAGATGGCCAGATGTGGTGCGCGACAGTGGCTGGCGTCGCACGCGCCCGCCCGGCCTGACGGGTACCGGCCAGCCGGCGCACCGCGCAGGGTGGCGCTGACCGGACCCTGCAGCGCGGCGGCCCGGCTGGTGGAAAAAAGCATAGCAAAAAAAAAAACGCCATTTCAGACGTTTTATTTTTTTCATTCTTGCCAAGCGACAGCAGTATTTAATCTCGTCGCCGGTAACGATGCCACTCAATGCCTCTATTTCCGGTAGGAAACAGTGGCATTGAGCGGTATCGTGTCGTAACAGGCTGAATGGCCGTATTCCGCCGCTAGTCAAATGCACATGCACACGTTTCATTTCATCTGTTATTTCATCGACATCTAGTCTAGTATACGTGCTAAGGTTTTATTGAATTGCGAAAGTTTATAAATGTAAAGAACCAGCGATTGCATTCTCAAGAACATCAGCGACTTAACATATTGCGTCACCGCAGCGATTAACGAAACGGAATAAAATTATGCAGATCTAAAAAGCTGTTAACTTACAAGTACCTATAGCTTATGCTTACGGTTACGGCCCTTCTAAAATAGTTGTAATGTTGCGATTGCTTTATCCATTGGAAGATGTTGAAGAAAATGTAATGCATATCATCGTGTCAGACCGAATGTAATGGCATACTATCGCTCAGCAGTGTGATGGTTCCATAGCAAAGGCCTTGATTAGCTCTGGAAAGGTGCGACTTCATAATCCAGACTCAAAACATATGCAAGTGGTTCACTTGGTGACAGTCCCGTTCTGAAGTGATTGTCGTTTGCGGTGGTACGTATTCGGCGGCTGGACCGCTGCGGTACCGTGTGGACGGTAGTCAGCTGGAGGTCGGCCCGGCCGGCCTGCCTGCGCAATCGGCCGGGGCGGGCGCCCGGCCCCAGTTTCGGGCGGTGCTCGTGGCGGGTCGCCACGCTCCGCAGTGCTGCGGTCGGGCCACCAAACTGTGCCGCCAGAATCAGCCGACCGCTGGTAATTCGGACCACTCCATCAGGCCGACATCATGCTCAACCTCCTTAAATCCGTGAAGGGTGTGCTGAAACCCAAGGTTGTGTGCAACGACAACAATGTGTTTCGCCTGCACTACAAAGCGACCACATCACTTCTGCTCGTGTGCTGCCTTTTGGTCACGTCCAAACAGTATATCGGAGACCCAATCGACTGCATTGTGGACGGCGTCAAGGGCAAGGTTATGGACACCTACTGCTGGATTCACTCGACGTTCACCGTGCCCAGCCGAGCGTTCGGGAAACAAGTTGGCGAACACATCCCACATCCAGGCGTGGTAACGCCCGAAGAAGGCGATGAGCTGAAGTACCACAAGTACTACCAGTGGGTGGCGTTCACGCTCTTCTTTCAGGCGATGCTCTTCTACGTGCCGCACTACCTGTGGAAGATGTGGGAGGGCGGTAAGTGTCAGATGCTTGTGATGGACATGCAGTCCCCCGTGACGAAGGAAGAGGCGCGCCGGGACAGGCAAAAACTCATCACCAACTACTTCTCGCTTAACCTGCATCATCACAACTTTTACGCTGTGCGATTCTTCTGTTGCGAAGTTCTCAACTTCTTGAACGTCATCGCGCAGATCTTCTTCACGGACCTGTTTCTGGGCTACGAGTTCACGACGTACGGCTCACGTGTGGTCGAGTTCGCCAACATGGATCAGGAGGACCGGCCCGACCCGATGGCGCTCGTGTTCCCCAAGATGACCAAGTGCACGTTCCACAAGTACGGAGCCTCCGGCACCGTGCAGCGCATTGACGGCCTCTGCGTGCTCTCGGTCAACATCATTAACGAGAAGATCTACGTAATGCTGTGGTTCTGGTTCATCGTTTTGGCAGTGGTGACGGGTCTGGCGCTGCTGTATCGACTCGCTCAGATGCTCTCTCCGCAGCTGAGGCTCCAGCTGCTCATGATGCGCGCCAGACTGGCTTCGCACCATGACGTTGCTATCGTTGCGCGCAAATGCCAGATTGGCGACTGGTTTGTGCTGTGTCAGATGGGGAAGAACATGGACCCAATCGCGTTCAAGGAACTGATCGGGAAACTGGCGATGCGTTTTGAGGGCAAGGACACGGAGGCATAGTGGACATTGATGTGAAAATAACCGAGGATGGTGTGGTTACCAAGGTGATCGATGCCATACGTGAGCCCTTCGGTGTTAGCGGAGTGGTGTCGGGTGGTGTATTGGCTGTTTTCGCTCAGCCCACGGCAATAGCGCTAACAAAGGATTGGTGTGTGCAAAGGGAGCCTACACAGGCGCTGGTCTAACATGACTTGGATTACCAGTGGGCTTTTTGATGAGCGGCCCGGGCCGGGTGGGCTTTTCGCTGCGATGAAGTTGCAATGATGTGTTGTTAGGCGTTTTTACTTGCGAAGTTGATTTTTACAGTACCTATGCGTCAACATCTTCATTCCCTGAAACTTTAAACCCCGTCCATATGAAAGCCCTTTTAGAACGATAATTTCCCTCGTAAGTCTTATTGTCGTGCCACTTATGGATTTTTCGTAATTTTGTGTTAATCATACTATGATCGAATTGCCCCACCTGTTCAGTGTTCAAATTACCCCATCGGCCACCCTACCATAACAGCTTGTAGGGGTCAGTCAAGCATAGGTCAGGTCAAGTTCAGGTCAGCCAGGTAAGCATATTTTACCGAAAATCAAAACTCATTGCAGCATATGACATATGTTTTATGGGTACCTTTGGGCGTAAAACACGATGGTGACATTCAGTTTATCATATGAATGCGTGTTGTGTCGTAAGAGATCGAATTAGAAAACGCGTGCATCATAGTCGTGAAGTTGTCACGAGAGCCTACCAAGGTTCAGGTAAAGATTTTTGAAAATGTAGAAAAATAATAAAAAATCGAGGGCAGCCATTTGATTGTTAAATGCTCATTGCATTGGCAGTCTTATGGCGTTTACTACATGTTTCTACGCAGGTGTTCTGTGTGATTTTACGTGATTTGAATTTTTAAAGATATGCCGTTCAAGACCTAAGCCTCGATATCAAGAAACTTCCTTTTTTATCTTTGTCACCATAAACCTTAAAAGGACAGTATCATCGAAAAGAAATCAAGGTATGGAGCTGATTTGTTTTTTTCCTAACATTTCTTATTTTTCTGAATCAGAAAAAACATAGGTAGTTTGAGGACCGAACTCGGTTGAAAAATATTTTTTCATGAGCGAGTCATTTTCATGAGCGAACCACCACTACAAGCATCACGGACGTATAAATAAACTTATTAAATAAACTTATTATTATAAATAAACGTTTATTTATACGTTTATTTATACCCCTCTAGTTTTTCGATATTTCTCCAGAACCGCTGCGCCAATCGTCACCAAAATTTCAGTACCCTCCCGTGAATAGCTTTTACACGTTGCAACAAAAAAAAAATCCCAAGGCTATGATAGGTTGGCCGCTAATGACGTCGGAGTGACGACTTTTCTGCCATTTTCGACCCAAAAAAAGGTTTCGCGGGAAGAGCTGTCAGGCCTACAGCTTTAGAGATACAGAAAAATGTTTCAGACATAAAAGGTGTAAAATTACCAGGGCTATTAAATTGCTATCTCGGATTTTTGAAGTTTTTTGGATTTTGACTCCAAAAATAATAATAAAAAGATTTTTGAATATAATAGCCGAAAAATCCAAAGTTTTTTTCTGAATTTCAAAAATCGGAAAATACAGGACAGAGTGATCCAAAAAATTTGGAACCCCTAACTTAAAATGTCTATAAGTCCAAAAGTATTCACTTTATTGACAAATTGCGAACACCATTAGAAAGAGCATTAAATTCTCTATAAAATCACGTCAAATTGGTGCATGTATGTTGTAAAGCATTGGCACACTATTAGTTTTTGGAATGAGCGTCAGAAAACTGAGTGAACCGAAATCGCCAAATGTTACAATGCGCTGAAATCCGTTAGCACTCTATCTGTTGTCTTTTTGCGAATAACACCACATCCAAATTCAATTTTATTACATAAAAGTTTACACAGAAGCACACAGTAGAACAGATACACGCGTCCTAACTCCTAGCTTCCGCTGTTCATCTCAGCATGTGCTCAACGCGAGCTCCGTGGGCCGTCACGCAGGCCTGCAGTTGCTTGGGGACAGCTCCGACTGCACGGGCCAGCAGTCTCTGGGACAACTGGTCCCAGCAGGCCGTCAGCCTTTCCTTTCCTTACAATAGCACGTGAATGCGCTATTTTTATTTATGAACCTCCAACAAGCGACATGTTCAGAACAGCAAACCGTCAATCACTGATTTGCGCATGATGTTCGAAACCGTTTCACTGAGTTTCGTGACACAAATTTTATAGGCATATGTCTAGGGCAATATTTAGAGTAATAATTAAGTTCAATCAACTTGGTTTTATAGAGAATTGAACGCTCTTTCTCATGGTGTTTGCAATTTGTCAATTAAGTGAAAATTTTCTGACATACAGACATTTTAAGTTAGGGGTTCCATTTTTTTTTTTTTGGATCACCCTGTATGTGATAGTCCCTATCGCCTTCTATCCACATACCAAACTTGAGATCGATGCCTCTTTTTTGGCCAAGTTACAGCGAAAAAAAAACTTCGAAACTGATGACATCAAATTTTCAAACTCTATTTTTTAGCAATTTTAGACCACGTAGCGCAACACAAAGACCACCATTAGACTCCCCGTGACGAGTTGCAGCGAATCAATACCCATTTTATGCAAAACTATCAACTTTGAAATTTGACCTTTTTTTACCTGACCTTGACCTGACCTCCACCAGAAAGTGACATAAACCGTACCTTATAGCCTTATAACCGACACCATTGAATTGGAAATGAAAAATTGCTGCCTAAAAAATTGTCTTTCGCTGATTTTCGACAAAATGCGTTTTACTCGATGTTATAGCGCATTCCCTAGAAGACCCGTGAACGGTGAAACAATTTTAAACAGTTTTGACCAGTTTTTTTCGCTATTACTTGGCCAAAAAGAGAGATATCGATCTCAAATTTGGTATGTGGATAGAAGGTGGTAAGGACTATCACATATATTTCGTTTTCGAAATAAAAAAAAGATTTTTCTGCTATTATATTCAAAAAATCTATTTTTTAATTTAAAAAAATTTGAAAAATCCGAGATAGCAGTTTTGTAGCCCTTTTATCGTACACCTTTTATGTCTGAAACATTTTTATGTATCTCTATTCTCTAAAGCTGTAGGCCTGACAGCTCTTCCCGCGAAACCTTTTTTTTGGTCGAAAATGGCAGAAATGACGTCACTCCGACGTCATTAGCGGCCAACGATTCATAGCTTTTGGAAAAAAAAATTGGCCATAATGTGCAATAGCTATTCACGGAAGGGTACTGAAAGTTTGGTGACGATCGGCGCAGCGGTACTGGAGATATATCGAAAAACTAAAGGGGGCAAAAAATGCCCCCCCCCCCCCCCCCCCACCGCCTGGAAGGTTAATGACAATTAACCCGCGCCCCGTAGGGCTATCGGCGGACCCTACACCCGTAGGGGGGGGGGGGCGAAACGTCCCCCCCCTAAGATCTTGGAGATTTACCGGCCGATTTTCAAAATTCAAACGGCGTTCGATAGCCCCACCGGGGAACTACCTTGTGACCAAATTTCATTGACCTAGGTCAAACCGATGACGTCACAGGTCAGGTCAAAGGTTGGATTTTCACCGTTCACAGGCATTTGAAGAAATGTGTTGTGAAGTCGAGTAAATTGGTAAGTTATTGAAAACCATCGATGGTACATTGCTTGTCAAACACAAACTTTGCTACCTGAGGTTACTGATACCAGGTCAGGTCACAGAGGTCAGGTCACTGGGGGTCACAATATGAAGGTGTCGTGTGATACATGCTTTATGGTCCATTTTACATGACAAATGTGATCATGTGGGTCAGGCAGCCTTTGGGGCCAGCTAAGGTCACGTTTTGGTGAAGGACAGGTCAAGGTCAGGTCATATTAGGTCAAATTTCAAAGTTGATATTTTTGCATGAAATGGTTATTGATTCGATGCAGCTCGTCACGGGGAGTCTAATGGTGGTCTTTGTTTTGCCCTGCGTGGTCTAGAATTGCCAAAAATTGAGTTTGAAAATTTGACGTCATCATTTTTGAACAGTTTTTTCGCTATAACATGGCCAAAAAACAAGATATCAATCTGAAATTTTGTATGTAGATAGAAGACGGTAGGTGCTATCACAAATATTCCGTTTTTTTCGAAACTCAAAAAAGTTCGTGGATTTTTTTTGTTAATATATCCAAAAAAAATGCTTTTTTTGATTTTTTGGGTTCAAAATTCAAAAATTTCAAAAATCCGAGATAGCACTTTTGTAGCCCTGTCAATTCTACACCTTTTATTACTTGGTTATTTTTCTGTATCTTCAATCGCGAAGGTCAATCGCGAAGGTCTTTTTTTCGGTCGAAAATGGCGAATCATGACGTCATTCTGACGTCATTTATGGCCAACCTATCAAAGCCTCTGGAAAAAAATTGGTCACATTGTGTAAAATTGATACCCGGAGGGGTCCTGAAAGTTTGGTGGCGATATCTCCAGCCGTTTAGGAGATATCGACGGAAAAGGACAGGGGGGGGGGCGTTTCACCCCCCCCCTTACGGGGCGCGGGTTAAACTAAGTACCTATAGTGCATAAAGAAAATGACAAGGAAGCCACTTGCCAGCAAAATTGTGGAAAATCACAGAAATGACACCCAAACTTACCAAAATCACCTTCAGTCGATTGCCGCCATGTCACCAATTAATGACACAGTAATCTTATCATCAAGGATGTTTGGTATACGAAATTGAATAGGGTGGGCGGTATTTCCCAATGGGCGAGGTTCCCCCGTCTTCCTCTATCGGTGAACCCTGCCACCCGTAGGGGGGGGGGCTATCGGCACCCCCTCCCCCTCGTAAGATCTCAGAAATTTACTGGCCAATTTTCAAAATTCAAATGGCGTTCGATGGCCCCACCGGTGGACTACCTTCAGCATAGGCGTCGCCAGAGATTTTCGGTTGGGGGGGGGCAAAATCAACTTTTGTGTTAAAACTTGCCTTTCCACAGTCTTTACTCACTCGTTTTACATGTCATTCGACGCGCAATGGTGCGAGGAATCCGATGGTGGCAAAGGTTTCCTTCTAGCTATGACATGTAATTTTTTACAGAAAAATTCGAAATTTTGAAATTTCATGACAAAAACGACTGGTAGAATTATAGTATATAGTGGCTGCGATTGCCGACGCACTGCAGAGGGCCCCTGTGCAGACGCTCGACGCTCATGATCATTA